CCTGAAGACAAGGTACATTTTATACTTGCACCCTAACTTATTTACTGTTGGGAATACATCTGATGTCCCATCACTCACCAGTGTATGAAGCGATTACTTGTAACAGACAACAACTTCCCACTTTCCTCATAGTGAAATCCACCAGCGCAGTCTGGATATTTTATGCTCCCAGGAACTGCATTCAACCCTACAGAAACGTATAACATCATAATGCATGACTTATTCGAGTAACATTTCAGAGATCAAGGTTACACCTCACTTTATAAACAAGCCTGTTCCAAATTAATGCTCAGCTTGTTGGTTAGTTTCTGTACATGAATACAAACCGCACAACGCAGTGTCTTTGGTGGTTAATGTAAAAGAAACTAAACTTCGGGCAATACCATCCAACCAAGAAACTAAAGCTCAGTCACGACGTAATTATGCCAGTGATTTTATGCGCCCCTTCCTCGCAGCTGGTTATAATACCAGGAGAGTAGAGACAAGCAGCGATGAAGGCTAAAGTACTACCTCGTCATCCTAACTAAGGGTTTTAAAATCAATTATATTAATCAATTGTAGGTGCCGTAAGCGCAGAACTGTTCAGCCGGCCCAAGGAGGATACGAGCATACACAGAGATTATTTCGAAATATATGCTTATAACAGGAAGACAGTGGCGCGTGGCGAAAATATACCGGCGTCTCACGCGCCGGACCAGCCGGCATTAGCGCAAACCATGTCCGAAAGCATGTGATCAGCTACTGTTAAAAGAAATGTTCTTCACAGTACACTAATTTCCGTACATATGGTACATTTAACAGAAACAGCTCTTTAAATAAAGACACAGAAAATCCACGGTATAAAATTATAACACACGAGACGACCTCGTTTTCTGTCGTTGTATTATACTTTTTATGCTACTAGCTGGTATATATTTTTAAATAGAGACCATATTAGTGATGTTTTGAAGATATAAAATGCATTTTACCTAAGTTAACCGTTATATCACGGAATCTTGGAGGGATTTCTCTCTCAAAGCTGCAGATTTCTATAAAACTGCTCTTTAGAGCCGCCGCCATCTTCACCGCGTTGGATTCTGGGTCCGGATTAGACGTATTCGACCGCCACAAGAGCCTTCAAATATTTAAAGACACAATGTCTGAGTAACTATATACAAAATTGCATAATCTCAGAGAAACCTAACTGAAAATTAAATGTAAGTTAGAGTTTCTCAACCTTCCTTTCACGGCACACTTTCAATAACTCAGGGTGCCCCGGCACACCGGTTGAAAAACATTGAGCTAAGTAACGGCTATCAGAGCCTTCAGATTTTTAACCCTTTCATGCATGAATTATGATCCACGGAGTCAATGTTTTACTGTTTAAAAACATTTTAAAAAAATGTATAATGAAATAAACACAAACAACACAATCAAATATATAAATTGTAATTTTATTCAAAACACCACAATTAATGCACTCATAGGTGAAAACGAACTCTTCAAATGACAATTAAAGCAGTCTTAAAATATAAGCAGTGCAATGGTAACATGCATGCATATGAATTTTATTGTTACTTAGTTTTAGTGCTACTATTTAGTAGTGAACAAAATGCGCACTTCGTAGTGTACTTCAAAGTGCACACTTAAAAGTGCGCACTTCGTAGTGCACACTTCAAAGTGCACACTTTAAAGTGTACACTTTGTAGTGTGCACTTAGAAGTGTACACTACGAAGTGCGCACTTTGAAGTGTACACTTCGTAGACATCCGGATCACTTCGGAGATGATGCCGCTCGCGTTTACTTCGTGATCTCATTGTTGACCAGAAGAGCATGCGAGTGGGCCACTGCCCTGTGGTCAGACGACAGCCCCCTGCTGGACTCTGCACGAGAATTCCAACGGGCTTTTACTGAGGTGTTCGATCACCCTGTGGTTGGATGAAGCTTGGGTGAACGACTGTTTGACCTGAAGCAAGGCACCAAGTCGGCAGCGGATTTTTCTCTGGAGTTCCGCACCATCGCTGCTGGCCTGTGCTGGCTGGAGGACTGCCTGAAGATAATATACCGCCGCGCTTTAAACCCTGAACTCCAGGACGAGCTAGCCTAACTCAGCGAGGCACACACCTTCAAGGACTACGTCCGGTTGTCCGTGACTCTGGATAACACCGTGAGGGAACATAATTTCTGCTCTTATGGGCATGTCCCAGGTCCAATTCACCATACCCATTGTTGTGCATTGTGGAGGAGTACAGATACCCACTAGGGCCCTGCTGGACTCTGGAGCAGCAGGGAATTTTATGGATCTTACCCTGGCCCGGCAGTTAAAGATTCCCCTGCAGGCACTTCCCATCCTGGTGGCTGTCCTGGGCATCAGCAGAGAACCCCTACGTGGGGGACAAGTAACTCATTGTACCAGGCCACTGACTTTGAGGGTGGGAGTCCTCCACTGGGAGACTATAGATCTGCTGGTGCTCCCCCACACCATTGATCTTGGGCCATCCCGGGTTGTGGAAGCACAACCGTCATATCAATTGGGGTGTAGGTGAGCTTACCTCCTGGTAACCTGTCTGTTTCATTTGATGTCTCTCCCTACCTTGCAAAGCATCACTAGTTGAGAGTCTGGATCCTGAAGATCTCTCTATCATCCTGACCGAATACGCGGACCTTGTTGACGTCTTTAGTAAGTCTCTCTCCTTCCAGCTACTGCCTCATCGGGATTGTGACTGTGCCATTGACCTCCTAGAGGGGGTGCCTCTTCCCAAGGGTTGCCTCTTCCCCTTATCCCTGCTCAAGGAGGAGGCTATGGATACCTATATCAGAGATGCCCTGAAACAAGGTATCATTCGCCCATCGACATCTCCCATAACCGCAGGGTTCTTCTTCGTAAATTAGAAGGACGGAGGCCTACGCCCATGTATCGATTACCGGGCTCTCAATGCCATCACGGTGAAGCGCCAAGAACCTCTGCCTCTGATCCTGTCAGCGTTAGAACAACTTCGCAAGGCTACTGTGTTTACGAAGTTGGACCCGCAAAATGCCTATAATCTGGTCCGGATTCAATGAGGAGACAAATGGAAAACCTCCTTTATCACTAATATGGGGCAGTATGAATATCGGGTTATGCCGTATGGTCTAGCCAACAGCCCTTCCATTTTCCAAACCTTCATGTATGCCGTGTTTAAGGATATGATCAACCGGTTCATAATTGTCTACATAGATGATATTCTAATTTATTCTCCTACCTTACCCCAGCATATTGAACACCTTCGTCTGGTGTTACAACGGCTACGAGAACATCATTTACATGTAAAGTGTGAGAAGTGTTAGTTTCACCAGACCCAGGTGAAGTTCCTGGGTTATCACATCCAGCAGGGAGCTGTCGCGATGGAGGAACTCCTGGCCCTCAAATTAGCCCTGGAAGAGTGGAGGCACCGGCTGGAAGGGGCTCGACACCCCTTCCAGGTCTTCACCGATCATTGTAATTTGGAATATCTTCAGAACACCACGAGGTTGAACCCCCAACAAGCACGCTTCAACTTTAAGCTCAGAATTTTTCAGAATAAGAGATTTTTAAACACATTCAGAGAAGGCAAGGAGTCTAAATTCAATATATTTTGTAATATATTCCACTTATGTGGTGCATAACAACAAAAGGCGGATTTCCTCAGTTCTGTGCGTGTGGTGGGAGTCTGAAGGAGAAGTTTAACTGATGAACGGGTACTGTATGCATTAGTGCGGAATGTCAGCAAACTACACATGTACTGAGGTAATTTGCCCATTAAAGCCTTTGCAATAAAAACCAGGCAATGCATTTTCATTCTAAGAAAAGGAAATCTATAAGCAGTTATAACAAACACATTAGCCGTCTGTTATCATTAAGATAACAGATCGGCGCAATGTCTAATAATAAAATAATATAGTTAATGTGGAAACAATACAAAAACGTAAAACAAAAATGTATCCTGTAAAATCCTATAAAATGTGGTAAACGCCCAGTCATACTTAAAAAAAAAATAAATACCGTTGTATACCGTGAAACCGATATAACTTTGAAAAATACCTTGATATAAAATTTTGGTCATACCGCCCAGCTCTAGACACAAGGTAAGCTAACGAAGAGGAGCTGGCTGGTGAAATAATATATGCCGGTAATGTATTTTTGAATTCATCCAGATATCAAACTTTCCACAGTCACACTTTGCTCATGCTGAGTGTATAATCACATTTAAATCAGAGCCTTTTTCAGGAGGTGTATCACTTTTGGTTCTATCACTATATGTTCTGAACCACAGAATCAACCCAGGTCAGTCTGATTTTAACCTCAGTGATGGGCTATCAGCCACAGGCAGCCATATTAATACAGGAGCACTGAAACCAGGACTGGGTAATTAATTGTACAGATGCTCCTCTACTTACAAGATACGTTCCGAACGGCCGTTCATAACTTGAAATGTTTGTAAGTTGTTATTCATCATTATAAGGGTATACGCAAGTACAAAGAACTAGGATGTTGGGAGTACACACGCTACGCTGCTGCACGGCGAGAGTAGTGGCCAGAAGTCATACTACCCGGAATTACACCTCATTGTCGCGGACAGGAAACGGGAGCCCAATGAACACAATTTGGACTTGCAGTCCTATTCGTTCATATGTCTGAAAGTTTGTAAGTTGAAAGTTCGTAAGTAGCGGAGCATCTGTATTTCCATTACAATTACAACTTGCTTAAAAATGATTATCAAAACTAAAGATAAAATGATTGTTGCGCCACAGCTCAATTTGCAATGAGGCTCTGTTTGTCTGGTTATAAATCCAGCTCACCCCTTTCCAGCCCCTTTTTATTTTTGTTAAATTATACTTAGTGTTCAAGGAAATCCACTGTTAAGTGTTTTGATAAGTTTGATAAATGCATAATATTTCCAAAGTCAGCCCTAGCTGATACCTGTACCAGTATGACTTCCCAATATGTATTCATGCGACTCCCGTAATTTCCTTTATGGAAATGCAAACGTATAGGCCGAGGTTATAGCTCATGGCCAAGCAAACACTTTATTGTCAAACTCTTCATGGAGCATGAGCAAAAGAAACACCTCAGAGAAAAGTTACAGTTCAGTGCATAAACACACAGACAGCTTACGCAGAGAGACCCAGAGAGCTCAATATGTGGGGCAAACAATGAATCATAGTGACTGGAATCCCACCAAGCCATGTGCCCTGATATTCACTCTTAAAGGAACACAAAAGCTGAATTATAATAATAGACTCAGAGTCATCAGGCCTGCACTAGGAGAGTCATGAAAGTCATAAGCTATCAGCATAGGGTGCTAGCGGGAGATTCTGGATACAGTGGGTTGTCCAGAGCCCCTGATGACTCCTCAAGAGGGGCAGGACTGTCACCCCTGGTCACCGCTTTTGGTTTATCCCTGTAAGGTTCTTCAACTAAGAAAAAGAGAAAGAGGGGGAGAGAGACGGCTCTTAAATCCACTTACTTCCATTACCACCTGACAATTATAATCAGAATGACATCCATCGCTCCATCCTTCCAGGGGAAAACACAGGCCACATTCTCCTTATCAGTGTGCCAGTCTGTACTCACCGTGACAGCAGCTCCCACGAGCCCCTGCACCACAGCCTCCCCAGTCGACTGCACCTAATAAACACGTTCACAGAGGCTCACCCCACACACACACACATATACACACACAAGCCAACAGCTTGATACTAATGGTTTTGAAAGCAACCACAATCATTACTCATACCACAAACAAAATTGTTTAAAAAGATGTAGGATACTGTTATACACAGTCTGAGGTACTGGAAACAAAAAAATAAGGAACAGGAATTGAAAATGGTACTGTGAGCTGCGTGAGGGCCAAACCTACCTGTTTGGCTGTGTTGGCCATGTTGACTATGTCTCGGATACGGTTGTCAAGGAAGGCCCAGGTGTCCTGGAAGTCGACAGAGGTGTCCTGTAGCATAACGAGCTCTGTCGTGTTGTAGATGCCAGTCAGGGTTGCCCGACGAGTGTACCAGTTCATCTGACAGTGAGGGAAGGACAGAAGGGAAACACTGGATAAAGATCACAGGGGAGGGCAAAGCAGGGTGGAGAGAGATGTGGAAGACTAGACAACAGAAGAAAGGAAGGTGGGGGGGGGGTCACACACAGTAAAAAGACAGCTGAGGAGTGACAGGAAAGAGTGTGACAGAGGTGCAGGCAGGAAGTGACCACAGTACAGTCAGCATGAGATCCACAGAGAAGCCACTCACATCTGTGGAGCGGTCTCCAGCATAGTACCACATATCGTCCACCAAGGTGGAGAGGTGCTTCAGACTCTCGGGGATGTTGTGGGGAAGCAGCAGGATGCTCATTGCCTGGTCGAGGGAGCCAATTAATAAATTAACAAGTTAAGACGACCCCAAGTTCAGATGCTGCCCCCCCAACTAATAATTAAAAAGAGAAAATCTTTCTATATCTTACTATTATTTTCACTTTAAGTGGACAGAGATTTATTACATTAATTCATTTGGCTCAGCATATGTGGCTGGGTGGATTCATGCCATTTATTACTACACTGCAGAGGGGGTTGTTAATCAGTTTCAGCCACTTTGATGTTAATGAACTTAACAGGTGCACTAGAGAGACAACAATGAGATGACCCCCAAAACAGGAATGGGTTAACAAGTGGACTCCACTGACATTTTTCCATCCTCGTCTTATCCGATTGTTTTTTCACTAGTTTTGTATTTGGTTATGGTCAGTGTCACTACTGGTAGCATGAGGCGATACCTAGACCCTACAGAGGTTGCACAGGTAGTCCAACTCCTCCAGGATGGCGCATCAATACGTGCCATTGGCAGAAGGTTTGCTGTGTCTCCCAGCACAGTCTCAAGGGCATGGAGGAGATTCCAGGAGACAGGCAGTTACTCTAGAAGAGCTGGACACGGCCGTAGAAGGTCCTTAACACTTCAGCAGGACCAAAATTTAAATGATCCTTTGTGCAAGGAGGAACAGGATGAGCACTGCCAGAGCCCTACAAAATTACCTCCAGCAGGTCATTGGTGTGAATGTCTCTGACCAAACAATCAGATACAGACTTCATGAGGGTGGCCTGAGGGCCCGACGTCATCTAGTAGGGCCTGTGCTCACTGTCCACAAGGAGCCTCCACTAACGCCCTGTGCTTTTCACAGATGAGAGCAGGTTCACCCTGAGCACATGTGACAGACGTGAAAGGGTCTGGAGAAGCCGTGGAGAACGTTATGCTGCCTGTAACATTGTTCAGCAATACCGGTTTGGTGGTGGGTCAGTGATGGTCTGGGGAGGCATATCCAAAGAGGGACGCACAGACCTCTACAGGCTAGACAATGGCACCTTGACTGCCATTAGGCATCAGGATGAAATACTTGGACCCATTGTCAGACCTTATGCTCGTGCAGTGGGTCCTGGGTTCCTCCTGGTGCAGTTCCTGGAGGATGAAGGAATTGATACCATTGACTGGCCCCCATGCTCGCCTGACCTAAATCCAATAAAACACCTCTGGGACATTATGTTTCGGTCCATCTGACACCACCTGGTTGCACCTCAGCTTGTCCAGAGGCTCAGTGATGTCCTGGTCCAGATCTGGGAGATCCCCAAGGACACCATCCGTCGTCTCATTAGGAGCATGCCCCAGCGCTGTCAAGCACGTGGGGGCCATACAAAATACTGAGTATGATTTTGAGTTGCTGCAATGAAATTTCAGCTAAATGGACTAGCCTGCCGCATCATTTTTTAACTTTAATTTTTGGGGTGTCTTTGAATTCAGCCCTCTGTGGGTTGATAATCTTTCCATCCAATGATGTGGCATCCTTTCATTCCTAACACGTTACCCAGTCCACATCAGCATAGATATCCAGCATGATTTTTTCCCCATTGAGATCTGATGTGTTTTCAAAGTGTTTCTTTAATTTTTTTGAGCAGTGTATTTAGTACCATACATATTTTGACGGGTAGATGCCCGACCTGGGGGGGCCCCCTCAGCAAACTCAGCATAATTGTTGGCAATTGGGAAACTTCTGTCCATGAGGGACACTCAGAACCTGAAAAGTGGGGCACTATCAATCATTCGGACAGAGGTTCTAGGTGCTGTGAAAGGGGCTGCTACCTGAGGCCACGTGTCGATGTACGGGACCAGCATCCTCAGCCGGGTCTCCACGGCCTCCCGCAGGAACTCCGCAGTTTTCTTCGGTCTGAAACATGGGTTTGATTTCCGAGTGTCATCGTTGTCCAACACACAAATGCCTGGTATTATCAAGCCCGAAACTTAGATACAAAACATAAATGAGCCCCTGAAATCTAACATCAAACCCTAAATTCTCTTGCACTGCACTTTATTTGGTATTTTCATTTACACTTTAAAAATGAACATTTTTTGCTTTGGTGCAAAACTGATACAAAAACTGACTCATCTTGCCCAAATACTAACACATTCATAATTTGGACATATCACAATGTATGCACTTACATAGCGTTCAACCCTGTTTGTTTTACTTTTTTAATTTGTTAACTGGCACAGGATGCTTTCTGAAAACTTGGCAAGACTGCAGCTTGAGAACCAGAACATTCCAGATAGGACTCACTCTGCCTCACCCAGCTGGACCCGCTTGTGCTGCTCAGCCAGGATCTGGACCAGCTGGTTGTTACACTTGACGACAAAGTGAAGCACCAGGTCCCCAGCACCGTTGGGGAATATCTCACTGGAGGCTGAGCTCAGGCCCAGGGTCTGGCAGAAAAATAGGAGGCAGAACTGGCTGAGGTCAGAGCGTTACAGAGACAAGGCAGAATGGGCCACTGTCATAGCATTACAGACACGGGGCTGAACGGGCAGACACTGCACTGCACTTTAAATAGTGTAAATTAATATGGGTATTCTTGTATTTCTATCAAGAGTAATGGTGCGTTCGTTTTTCTCTCGGAACTCGGAAATTCCG